GCAGGAACACCAGAGGCGACGCTCCTGTTGCGCAGTCCCCAGGCACGGCAAGCCTGACGTGGCTCAGGGCATTGTCGTCACCTGCCCCTGCCTTCGCCCCACAGCATCCCTGGCTCGAGACCCCAGGCTGAGGGGCAGCAGTTCACACCTGCCTTCCCCCTTCCCCGCCATGACCCCCTCCTCCGCAGGCCCAGGGGGCAGCCCACTCTCCGCCCTCACTCCAGGGCCTGGGGTGGGGGCTGGGAGAAGGGGGTGTGAGCTGAGAACAGGGAGCCTACGCCACCGAGTCCTCCGTAGACACAGAGAAGACAGAGGCTCCGTGGACGGAGCGCGCGGGCCACAGCTAGCACCCGGACGGATGAAGGCCTACGAGCCAGCGACAGGAAGTGACTCAGGGAAAGGTGATTTGGATGGAACTGTGACTAGCCAAACACACGCAAGACACCCGGCAAAGGAACACCGAATAAACCGTGAGGCACCCGGGGGACACGCGCCAGACAACGGGAACGTGAACCAGAGAACACAAGTGGCTAATGGGACGCGGGACTGAGGGGCACAGCTGGGAAGACCCCGAAACCCCATCAGTGGGCAAGCGAGGCAGAGGGCCAGGCACACACAGGCGCTTCGTGTCAGAGCTGCCCAGAGCGCGGCTGCACGGTGCCGTCCGCGAGGGCGAAGCACCCACGGCGCGGCGCCCGAAGCCGGTGGCACTGTCCGGAGCGCCGAAGCCTGGCCTCACGTCGTACCAACAGCGCGCCTGCGGACACGGAAAGCACACCCGACGTCCCCCCGAGCCCAATGCAGCCCTGAGCAGTCGGCAGCCGAGGCGCCGACCTCACACCTCAAGGGACAGTGGGCAGCTCTAGACCATGGCCAGCTCCCTTGCCTGGCGGCAACCTGCCCATGGCACCTGGCTCTGCTGTGGCCTCCATCTCCCTCGCCTGCTCCTCACCAGCTCCCAGGGCTACACGACCCCTTCCACTCTGCATGGCTGCCCGTCTGGGCTGTGTGCGGCCTGTCCACGTGGCTCAGGGCCACCCTGTCTTGCCTGATGCTCACTGGGCCTGCGGTAGGGCCATGCGTGGTGGCATCTGGGCCTCCCACACCCCCAGGGACCGCCAGCATCCCGTCGGGGCTGGTTCCACAGGTCAGCAGATGTCACACCGTCCCAGGCGTCCCCCTCTCACTGCCTGCCGTCCCTCTTGAGGCTGGCCTAGTCTAGTCCCCAGCTGGGTCAGTTTTAGACCCTCTGTCTGGTACAAACCATGAGGGTGTGAAGAGGTGCGTCCTGCTCATGTGTCCACAGGCTGCCTGTCTGGCCAGCCCTCTGCCCCACTGAGGCCAGCGGCATGTCCTGTGACCCTGTCCGTGCCCGCCCAGCACACCCACATCGGGGGAAAGCCTGGGCTGGCACCACAGGTACTCAGGAATCAGGTGTGGGATGAGCACCTGCTAGTCACACCTCCAGCTGGAAAGACAGCATGCACATCACTGCAGGCTACCCTGAGCAGGCAGGGGACACTGACTCCTCCGCCACAGGCTACTCAGAGCAGCTGCCAAAGGAAACTCCAAGCCTATGGCTAAGCGGTTTGGGCTCCAGAGTCTGCAGGGGGACAAATCTCCTCCATAAGCAGTGTCCGGGGGGGGACCCCTGTGCTCAGGGCTTTCCAAGGACTAATGGCCACTGAGAGTCTTCTACAGAAGAGCCCATTGAGGTGAGGGGGAGGCCACTCAGCTGAGGGAAAGTGGGCTCTGGGTCATCCATCTGAGCTGAGGAAGCGGCTCAGCTGCACTTGAGGACAGCTGGACACACGGGACAGGAAGCGGCCGTGTCCAGCGGCCCTGAGGCATGACGGGTTGCCTGGCCAGGGATCTGCATGTGGCAGATGAGGGGCTCCCACCCCATCCTAAAGTGGTGCCCAGAGAGAGGCTGGTCTGGCCCAGTGTGGGGGCGGGGGACTTGGGGACCACATCCACTGACTCTGACCTCCAGCCCCATAGGCCCTACCTGGGATCACAGGTGTTGCCTGAACATCATCACCCCACATCTAACTGAGTGCCTCTCTGGCATAGCCAGACATGGGGCTGGGGGACAGAGCACCCCCCGCCCTACCCATGCTACAACTTCCTTCTGAGAAGTCGCTTCAGGAAAAGACTCGAGTCTATGGCCATGACACCCTGAACAAGCCCGATCCCGTCTGATCTCGGAAGCTAAGCAGGGTCGGGCCTGGTTAGTCCTTAAATGGGAAACCACCTAGGAAGACCAGATGCTGTAGGAGGAAAAAATAAAAAATAAGGGATTGTAAGCTGACAAGATCCTTGCAATCTGTGAGGTCAACCAAGGGTCGCCTCGCCTAAAAAAGAAAAAAGGAAAGGACTCGAGAAAAGGCGCGGGCGGCTGGCTGCACCCGCCACAGAAACTCCAGAAACGAGCCCGAGGCTGCAGAGAGGAAGCATGCAGGGCGGGCGCCTCGCCCCTGCCCTCCAGCCTTCACTCTGGACACACGCAGCAGCACGACGCCCCCCACCTCGACCAGGAAACGGGCCGTCCTGTCCTGGTCACAAGCCCATCCTACCTGGATGATGTCTGACAGCTTCTGCAGCCCCGCCGTGTTGCTGAACAGCCCTGCACCTGTGGGAGCAGCGGCTGC